ATTTGTCCAGAAATGGTCAGCATATCGCGAACCGCCAATCCCGCGTCACGTTGAATTTCTGCGGAGCCTCTGCGATCGTCCTTGGGGTTTGCGGCTTGTCATTTTTGTTCGCCGATTCTTCCGTAGCATCCGTTGTTTACATACAGGGTCCTCCTAGAACCAGTGTTTCGTAGAGTGAGGAAGGGCTGATGGGCAGATATGTTTTAGGTACCACACGGAAATTATATTATATGAGAACAAGTCTAACGACCCAACTGTACAAACTTTGAAGGAAAGTGAGGTCCTAGGAACAAGCCCAGGCTCCTAGTCGTTTCCCCGAGTCCTCTGTTCTGTTTCACTCAACTGGTCCACCAAAACCTGTGCAATGTGTCTTTTGTTTGCCCTTTTCAATCTCCTCAAAGCTCGGGCTTGTATCTCTGCCAGGCTCAAACAAACGCCGAAACCACTTGAACTCGGGCAATTCTATGTTCTCTCGGCGGACTTATCTCACTGCCAGCTGCATTTTCTCTCTCAAAGATGTTGATGTGAGGTGGAAAGATTGTTCTGCCAACTACCAATGATTGCGTGTTGTATCTGACTCCAGCAGAGCGGCAGGAATTCACCGATGTAAACCAAGTGTAATATCGGCGAAATAAGCTTGAAAAGCAGAATGTTCATGGATGGAAATTGCATTAGTCAACCGCGGATATTTGGGATCAGTGACGAGTCACCTTTGCAAACGAGTCATGACTCGCCTGCTGCAGAAGACTACAAATCGCCAGAGAAATTTTGACACTCTCTTCAGTCCTATCGCCCCATACCAGCTTCTCATTGCTTCCTTGGTTCCCTTGTGGCCGCCCATCATTTATCGACCATGTCGTTCCCAGTTGCAAAGCTAGGCGCCAACGTCGTGCCACAATCTGCACATATCATCCGAACACACTCCACAAAAGTCGGCGCTTCGTGTATTATGGAAGCAAAATCTCGTATACGAGAGCATACCCGCAACATCACTCATTCGACGACAAAAAATGCTTCTGTAGGATCATCGATGTAAGTCACTTTTTATTTTCTATATTGATTGGGCTCACCCACCATGTTGCAGCCGACCTATACCAGAAGCTTTTCCGATCCCAATTCCCATCGCTAACCCTGCCACCCTGCACGACACTTTTGTTGGGATGACTGGAGGCGAAATTGTTCGCGAGATGATGTTGCTTCACGGCGTCAAGCACATCTTCGGTTATGCCGGAGGCGCCATCTTGCCCGTATTCGATGCGCTCTATAATTCAAAAGACTTGGAGTTCGTTGTGCCCCGTCACGAACAAGGTGCAGGCCATATGGCCGAAGGCTACGCTCGCATATCCGGGAAACCTGGTATCGTCCTTGTCACCTCAGGACCAGGGGCCACCAACGTCGTCACATCCATGCAGGACGCTCTGTCTGACGGTATTCCCATGATCGTCTTCACAGGGCAGGTTGCCACCTCCGCTATTGGTTCAGACGCCTTTCAGGAAGCGGACATCCTCGGCATCTCTCGCAGTTGCACAAAATGGAACGTAATGGTCACAGACATCGCTGAGCTGCCCCGGCGCATCAACGAGGCCTTCAAGATTGCGACCTCTGGGCGGCCTGGCCCTGTCCTCATTGACCTGCCCAAAGATGTCACAGCCTCCACCCTTCGTACCCCCTTGCCCTACAAGGTCACACCGTCCGGAACACACATCGGTCTCCCCATCGACCCCAGGCACGAGCCACCCGTAGACGAGAGTCTGATTATGCAGGCAGCCACTCTAATCAATCAGGCTCAACGCCCCGTCGTCTACGCCGGCAACGGTATCCTTTCCTCTCCCCTCGGTCCTCAGCTGCTTAAGAAGCTCTCCGAACAGGGGAACATCCCCGTCTGCACGACCCTCCAAGGTCTAGGAGCTTTTGACGAGACCAACGACCGTGCCCTCCACATGCTCGGTATGCATGGCAGCGCATATGCCAACCTCGCCATGCAAGAAGCGGACGTCATCATTGCTCTCGGTAGCCGCTTCGACGACCGCGTTGTCGGAAAGGCCAGCGCCTTTGCACCTGCCGCCAAAGCTGCGGCCGCGCAGGGCCGGGGAGGTATTATACATTTCGAGATCATGCCCAAGAACGTCAACAAGGTGGTTCAGGCGACGATCCCTATCCTCGGTGATGTTTCAACGAATTTAGCGTCTTTGGTGCCTCTGATCAAGAGTGCGCCACGTCAAGAGTGGTTTGGCGACATTCGACGTTGGAAGAAAGCCTATCCTTTCACGTATGTGAAGAGCGCGAAGGGCGAAAAGATGAAGCAACAAGAGGTCATCGAGGAGTTGGACAGACAGACCGCGCACTGCAAGGAGGACATCATCGTCACTACTGGTGTCGGTCAACATCAGATGTGGGCCGCACAGCACTTTAGATGGAAGCAGCCACACTCGCTCGTCACGTCCGGTGGCCTTGGGGTACAAGGCGTCATTTCTATGATTCGACGATCACTGACAATTCTTTTAGACAATGGGCTTTGGCCTGCCTGCTGCTATCGGAGCCAAGATCGCCGCGCCGCAAAAGACTGTCGTGGACATTGACGGCGATGCCTCGTTCAGTATGACAGCCATGGAGCTCGCCACCGCCTCGCAATACAACATCGGTGTAAAGGTCCTCCTCTTGAACAACGACTTCCAGGGTATGGTTCTTCAGCTGCAAGGTTAGTCTCCCTACCCATTTGCTCCAGCTTCATTTCCTCAAACCGTTATTTTGCGGTATTCTAGATCTATTCTACCAACACCGTTACTCTCACACGAGAATGACGAACCCTGATTTTGTACTTCTTGCCAAAGCCATGGGCGTCCATGCTATTCGGTGTCAAAATATCGAGGAGTTGCCAGCCAAGATGAAGGAGTTCTTGGAGTATGACGGCAATAAGCCAGTGGTGATGGAGTGTTTGGTCACCAAGAATGAGCACGTGTTTCCCATGGTATGCTTGTTTTTCTTCGACAAGGTTCATCAATCATGGATAGATTTTAGGTGCCTGCTGGCAAGGCCCTACACGAACAGTTATTGCACCCTTCGTTGAAAAAATGAGTGGTAAGTGTCGACAAGACTTTTACCTAGCATATATGTCTGTCCCCTTTGATATATAACATCATATAACATTTTAGGTATACCATTGTCGAGGGAGCGGCTTCAACGTCATATTCAGTACAGTTCCTTTGTCTCGCTAAATGTATGTATTTCGCGACTGCTGATGAGCCTGGAATTGGAATTCAGAAGTTTTCGGTGCTCATCCTTAAGCGTAGCTTAGAAAATTGTTGATTCCATTTCGGGCTTGCACCACAGTTAGTTGAACATATAATTTGCCTGCACAATGCCTACCTTTGCAGAAGTTATATGGTGGTTGCTTCATATAAAGTCATATGGACCTATTGTAAGAAGGAAACATTATTAGGAACGCATGGTGAGATGGCCGAGCGGTCTAAGGCGCCAGACTAAGGACCAAAGCAGTTGCTGCTTTCTCATCTGGTCCGAAAGGGCGTGGGTTCGAATCCCACTCTCATCAGTGTTTTGATCATAGTACAAAGTCCCAAAGGAAGAGGATGACTTTTTGATCTCGACACCCATGCTACGACTGCCAGCCCACATTCCATTCTCTGTCCAATCGGGTAACACATGCTACCAAACTTTTCCGGCGACCCGGTTTTTCAAGCGTTTGCATATCGTGGACTACTACCACCCAATCGTTTGTCGAGATCGCCAAAAATGGGTGTTGTTATATTGAGTCCGACAATCAATCATCTACCCTATTTAACCCCTCCGTACGCCCCAGTCAGCTCAATTTTGCGAGTTGTTCTGATAGAAGCTGACGTCTTTCAACGTTATTTACAGGTGATCCCCCATCCAAATCTCAGTCTATCGCGGTTCGCCTCTCATGCTCCCTCAGTAGTCGAAAACCTGTGAGTCGTATCTACCTAACATTGTTTTCTAGTTCTGACCCAAGTATCTCAGATTTCATTCAAAGGCTGGAACCCCTGCCAAGGAGGGGTTCATTGATACAGAGCCAGACCACTAAATCAACCTCGCCTTTATTGAAGCAGAGGATCCCCTGGAAGATATGCATGAGTTTGCAGAACTCCTTGATCCAGCCCTCCCGGTAAGCCTCACCGGCTTTTTTGATCAGGTGGGATGATGTAGACGAAGGTTCAAAGTGCTGGGACAACTTCTCACCATCCTTGGGACTGATATTCTACATTTTGATTGTTGGGAGAGGCTAACGATTAAATTGCCTCACGTCGAGCTGCCTTTCGATCCTGTTGCATCTTCTAGCCTTCCCCTAGAAGGGCTTACGGGTTTGCAACATCTCATTTGGAGTGGGTATTCGACACATATGCTTGCTTTGTGGTTTCCATTTTTGCCTCCAGTTCTTTAGGGCCTCCACACATTCGAAATCGACTGCAATACTGCATGCGATGACTGTTGGTATCTTCTGCGAGACCCGACACAGTTGACGGCTCTCACATTGCGGACCATTCAACAACCTTCGTTGGCGCATCCCATATTTCCCTCCACCAAAACACTTTCACAGCACGTCACCTTACCTCTTCTGGATAGTAGCCTACCACTCAATCATATGTCGATGTATTCCCTCTTCTCCAACTTCCACCTTGCCTCTCTTCGACATCTTAAGCTTTCTCTGTTGTACTCCTCCAAGCTATCAAGCATCGATGAAGTCGACAGTATCATTTGGGCTAGCCTAGAAACCGTTACACTTCACGGCAACTTCGATGATTGCTTTAAAATAGGATCAGTTCCTAGTGTGTGCATCTCACCAAACTAGAAACGCATCCACCCGTCGTTCCCTCGGCTGGCGCACATAATTACAACAAAAATTCGGTTGCATTTACCCACCCAAATAACTATTGTTCCTGGCCAGCAACGACAACGTTTCTATTTCTCTTTGCTTCTTGGTTTCCCCGATATAGCTTTCCCATGTCTGTTTTCTATTGTGGACCTCAAAATCAAATACTGTGGTCGTGATTGTCTCGAATTTGCTTTCAAAGACCACGCAATGTTGCTCATTTTAACAATTAAACCATACTCAGCCACACTATGTCCAAAGAAGGCTAATACTGACAGTTTTACAAGGTTGGACATTCTGGCTGATTTCCTTGTGCCTTATTCAGGGGGGCGGCTTGAATATTTTATCCTCAGAACGTGAGAGAGGCAGTGGCGCGAACGGCAAGTGCTATCATGGCATCCACGGGACTATACCGTCGTTATGTGACAAAGCATATGAATCGTCCAACGACTGTTTGCGAGTCTACTTCGCAAGAGCAGTCTGAACATTTCCCAGACGTCGCTCGATTTATTGGTCGTAATCGATATTAAGACAATCGTGCCGGCTCCAAACGGCGTAGCTGAGTGGAATCCATTGAGCTTTCAATCATCGATGCCTCCATAATAGAGTTAACTCACTCTCGCCATAGACCCCAAGGACAATACAATTCTTCACCACCTTTGACGGTGCGCCGTGTGTAGTTCATGGGAGGCTTGAAACAAAACTGTGGACATCAACGGTGTTCTCAAGATCCCCTGAACGGTTGACAATTCTGTGGAGAAACGATGTACGCCGTCGCCGCAGGAGTCTTATTGTCTTGCTTCCAACTAGTGCAGACCCTTGACACGAGCTTCCATAAAATCCGACAACCGAACGCCCCGGAGTCATTGTACCGCACCTAAAATCTCTGTTCTGGCGTGGACATTGCAACCAGCTCAATAAATTCTTTCCCCAGCAAACCCCCTTTTCGGTCACGACTCTCACTCTCCACTGTAATCTGTCCATCGGCGACTGCATTTTTCTTCTATTCAAGGGTCGAAATTTCTTGAAGACGTTTTAGATTTGGACTATCCGTGCCGATACTTACCCCAGTTGTAGGCAATCAATGTCGCCCGTGGAAACAACTGCATTGACGTCTTTGACCATCACCTCCGCCTGCGCTATAGTGACCTTGATGATGCGATTCAGGTTTCCTCGTCTTTCAAAATTTGGATATCTCCAATGCTTCTCACGTTCGAAAAGTCCGAGCATACTTTAATCGATGTTTCGGCGACAGGAAGCCTATTAGCACACGACTACACTGCGCAACGAGCGATGAGGAGGAGGAATGTGTTTACTCGCGCCAAATGCCACCTGCAGATCCTACTGATATTGACAAAGACCCGGACAGCAAAAGTGACAAGGATTTTTGGTTAAACCTGGAACAATCGTGAGCAACAGTAACGTTATTGTAGCGGGAGTTATCATACCTGACAGCTCCAAGATCCGGGATGTCTTGTAGCTTCCCGCTCGTAATATGCCTATTCAAAACATTCCGCCAGGGAATGACATGTCCATGTGATAACATCCAGCAACTCAGACTCGCGGGTGAGGACCTTAAAGCTCTATCATCCACAGTAGTGAGGGAGATTAAGGAGCCAGTGATGTCATCAGCGCACTAGAGCAGAGCCTTTAGCTCGCTTTCCGCGGTATAAAAGCCACCTTACCGGATCTGGATTGTGCTTTATGCCTAGACATTTGAGCGCTTCCAACCAAGGCAACTCGGTGAGGATTAAAGGAAGTGGGAAACGGGCCATCGGTTCCGTGATACTCTAGATCAAGCTTAAATTTCACATTTCGCAGCGTATTCTTCATCGTATTTCGAGCCCTCCGAATGGAGGCAAAAAATCAGCGTCTATGCGACATCCTTGCAAACCTCATGAGTTGTACCTTCTTGAAGACGGAAGGAGATCTCAGGAAAAGCCTTCAGCACCCAGTTCTTGGCAATCTCTGTCAATCGATAGCAAGTCATCAGTTAATACTCTTCACCACTGAGATAAAGACTAGTATGAAATTACCACCGGGAGGGAGTAAATCGAGTTGGGTAAGGTAGGATAGAACGCTTGGATAAAATCACTGGCCTTGCACCTAAGCGGAGTTCCAGACCAGTTGACTCATATGCTGTTTGTTGGAGAGTTGGACACCAGGTGCTCTTTAACGCGGAAAATTTATGTTCGAAACAGGGTTGCAGTGTATGTAACGGTACAGGAGCACAGTGGGCGTTATTTTAGCCCTCAGGTGTCTCCAGGAGCCGATCATGGTGAGCGCAGAGCGAGGTGAAAAGCGTAAAGGCTCTACATACCTGGCCAAGTCTCGACTGCCATTCCGTCAAGACAGGGTCGGCGAGATAATCGATAAACGCCTAGCCAGTGGCGGGGGTCTACGATGGGAACCTTGTGCTCGACAAGTTTCGGAGTTGATCGGGGGAAGCATGAGCAAGCGGTCGATTTCACTCTCCTACTCACTTCATCTCGAAGAATCCGGGTGTAGCTCCTCTGCATCGGCGCTTGCATTGCATGTCTTGCCCTCTTGTGGGCCTGGAAGTCGTGCACACTAGGTTCGAGGCTAAAGTCAGCGAGTGATTGTGTCAAGAATACAATAAGTAAATGATTGACCTGTCTTTTGGCTTGGATCACTTCAAAATAGACTCAGGACAATCTTAGTCCAAGTCTATAACCGATTGATGAACAGGTCCTCACGAAAATTATGTCATGCTTCTGCTGATCTGGCATGCGTCGCTTGAGTCTTGTGAATACGAACCGAGGCGATATTCGGGATTGCTTCTCGAGTCTCCGCGGGGGTACTATGCCTGTTTGCCTGCTCTTTACTTACAGTGTTACGCCACGTAGCACGGGTGGCTTCGTTTGGATTCTAATGTAACTTGGGGTTCGTCAGATGTTTCGAGTAAACTTGCGATATTTGCATTAGGTAACATCCAATTCTCAAGTTGGATATTTACGAGTCGCACAAGAAACTGCAGAAAGCGGCGGCGAGGTGGTGTAAGGCAATTGAAGTGCTCTGTTGGGAACACAGCCAGGGGCACGACAAGCCTTTCAAGGAACCACATACCAGATAACCTATGCAATACCACTGTTCCCATCCAAAATGATCATCGTGATGGTGTGTAAATCCTAAAGCGGAGTGGCAGAGGTTTCCATAAAAAAACCAACATGTGTAGATAAGATAAGATGAGATGGCGATCAATGTGTTGTGTGTAGAATTCTCGCGCACGTCCCTTTTGTTGACCCCAACACCAGAGCTCACCGGCCGCCACAATGGCGGGCTCGACACTATCCCTCGACTCGCTCAGCTCACCGTCGCCGTCACCTCCCCCAGAGCCCAAACTGCCCGCTGAGCCTACCAGCGCTGGCCTAGACAGCGACTCGGAGCTCTCAGAGCTCACCGAGGAGGAACAAGAGGCCGATAAAAGGGACAACGCTCCTCGAAAAGGAGCTCGTAACGGCGTTGCTCGCCGTGGAAGGAGAAACTCTCGTCGTGGAGGGCGCAGAAAAACCAGCAGTCTTGTCCCGGCCCCGATGTGGGGTTGGGCAGAGCCCAGGCCGTCCTCCAACGTCGTTGAGGAAGAGGAAGAGGAAGAGATGGCTGGCCCACCGCGAGCTATGGAGGAGGAGGAGGATGAAGAGGGCGGCGGCGACGAGGACGAAGAGGAGGAGAAGCCCCGTGCC